TATATATATATATATATATATATATATTATTATTATTATTATTATTATTAAATTTATTATAAAAAATTAAATATATATATATTTAATTTTTTATAATAAATTTCATATATTTTCTTCATTTTAGACATGAAAAAACATTCACGTAAAGAACATAAGAAATCTCCAGGATTTGTAGCAGATACTTTGGGTCCAGCACTTTTTTCAGCGCCCGATATTATTCGTCGTGTTGGTTCTAATAATGATCCGAAAAATGTGGACAATTCAGCTACTTTAATTACTAATATATCAAGTTCACCTATTTCTTGTGGAATTGCTAAATCGTCTCCTCAAGGAACACAAATAATAAGTCCAACAAATGTTATTACTACAACTGCAAACGTAACACAAAGTTCAGATCCTGAATATACAACGAAAACTTTGATAACAAATACCATAGAAGAAGAAGTATCTCATGTTGAACGTAATTCAGGTACAGAAAATGAGATGGATAATGTATCAAAGGACGAAGGTGAAATCCAAGAAACAGATTCAAAGGGAGACGCAACTGAGAAATTACAAACTTCTTTAAGTATGTGTCACATTGAGGACCATTCTTATTGTTTATTTGAAAAAAATGCAACTTTCTTTTTCATTTAGTTTTGTACTTTGTTAGTTTTGTCCCAAATATTATTTTTTATTTATTTAAAAATATTATGTTTTCTTAGTTACTACTTCATCAAAAATGATTGATCAAGCCATGGCATTACCTACCGTGTCAAATCATATTAACCCTAAACCTAGTAAGTTTTATTAACATGTCACAATTGTAATCAGATATCTTTTATATTGTATGTAGGGCATTCCACATCAAATCGATCATTTTTGACCTGGATCTCTTTCGATTTGGCTGAAACTTTTTTATCATTTTCAACTTTATTAAAAACCTCTCTGAGAATTTTTAAGTGACCAAGGAATTCTAAATAAAATCTTAATTGTATGAACTATAAAAATTGACCAATGGTTTATTACAATCTTTTATAATCATAATTTTCAATAGTATATAATTAAACTAAGGTCATTAAATAGATTTACAAATATTTATATATATTTATTTATATTTATTTAAGTTTATTTTATTATAGAAACAAAATTTTTAAATTAGAAACATTCATACCTTCTTCAAATGTTGACACATTTGAAGAAGGTATGAATTAAGTTCAGAATGAACTAAAAAGTTTAAAAGGAAAACATAAAAAAAAATAAAAAATACCAAAATTTGAAAAATTTAAAGTTTCTTCCCAAAAAAAGAAATTTCTTAAAGAATTTGACTTCAAATATCTTTTTTATATTTTTTTCCAAAAAGTACATTTAAAAACAAAAGGTTAAAAAAAAACGTCTCGATAAATCAATTTTTGACCAAGGCTATTGAAAAAAAAACTATTTTTTTTTTAAATTTTTAACTTTTTTTGGGTTAGGTAAAAAAGTTTGAAAAAATTCTTAGAGAGGTTTTTAATAAAGTTGAAAATGATAAAATAGTTTCAGCAAAATCGAAAGGGGTCGAGGTTAAAAGTGGTCGATTTGATGTGGAATGCCCCATATATATAGGATTTAACAAAAAAAGTGCGAAATGTAGAAATGTCTTTAGCACATTAAAACAAGAAAAAATAGTTCAAATATATATATGTATATATGTTCTATTTGATCTTATTTCAAAGTTATAGTAAATTATGCATATAATTTCTATTTCAATGATTATTTCGATAAACAGAAATAAGATGTTCCACTGGATATTAAACACCACATGTAGATCACGATCTGTGTGGCCCCACATGATGGGGCACTGCCGAATTTTTACCGACTAGTTAGACAATTTGTAAACGAACGATTTCCAAACAAGGGGATAGGTCGTTGTAGTTTTATTGCCTGGCCTTTTTTACTCTTGTGAGGTTATTTATAATACATTGTCTATAAGAAAATTCATAAACAGTGCGAAGATACTTCGTGAGAACATTGAACAAAGCTTCTAGTATATCCGAGCAATGGCTAGAAATATAGAGAGAGCAAGACAATTGCTTGTAAACGACTGCAAACTTGTTTCGCGTGTAAGAAGGTCTTTTAAAACACTTATAAATGCATTTAGTTGATCAAAATTCTAATTCACTATAATTCCGAAGCAAGGTTAAATGGGACATATGTTTATAGGAACTTTTTTTTTCTTTTGATACGCCATCTTTATAACATTTCCTATTTATTCTGTTACATTTTGTATGTACAATAACATTTAAAATATTTGACAGAAAACACAAATTTTAATATCGTCAAGAATTTTGTCACCTGTCTCTATATATTATATATATATAAATAATTATTAATAATATATTTAACTATTAAAGGTGGTATTGAAGGAGAAGAACATCTTTTAGCCACATTAGGAATGGAAGCCAACAAACATGATGAGGAGTTATTAGCAGAGGCATTATTATTACAAGAAGAACTTGGAGTTGATTTAGGAGATCATGTATGCTTATTTCCATATTTATGATCTTAACATTAATAACATGATATTCAGTTAATGGTCCTTTTTTTATTTTTAGACTGCTTTGGTAGATCAATCTGTACCATCTACGTCATTAACATCAACTCCTGCTCAAGTTACTACACTAGAAACAACAACTAATCAAGAATTGGCACGAAATTCATTAGATACGACAACTACGGCACAAATATCATCAAATATAATACCTGAAGTAATAAAAAAAAATGTTAAAGACGATAAAGAACCGATACAAATTGTTCGTGGTGGACGCGTAATAACTTTACCACCCATAGAAGCTCCAGCAACGAGAAGCAAACGATTGCAAGCGAAAACAGAAGTTGTACAGAAGACACCAGAACCTATCAAGAAAGTAGAAAATTATGAATCACCAGCAATTCAGAGTCACGTAGAACGTAAAGAAGATTTACGACTGAATGTAAATGAGCAAAATGATGATGATGACGAAGATGATGATGAGGAAGAAGAAGAAAATTCAGATTCGGAAGATGATCCTGATAGACTGTGGTGCATTTGTAAACGTCCTCATAATAATCGTTTTATGATATGTTGCGATGTTTGCGAAGATTGGTTCCATGGGAAATGTGTACACGTCAGTAAAGCAATGGGACAACAGATGGAAGAAAAAGGAATTGAATGGGTTTGCCCAAATTGTTTGAAGAAAAAAGCAGATGATAATAAAGTAAAAACAAATGCACAGGTTACTCCAGGAAGAGAAAAGCAACGGCAAGATTCGTTTATGGAGGATTCTTCATCCCTAATGGAAGAAGAAACATCGCAGCCTGCTCTTTCGCAAACAAAAGATGGACAGTTATCTGCAGCATCTACCCTCGATCACAATATTATTCGAATTTCAGGTACTACTCAATGTGTAGTATGCAAAAAAGAAGCTAGAAATTCTAGTATTTATTGTTCGGACGCATGCATTCTTGCACATGCTCAAGAAACTTTAACCAAGGACAAACCTATAGCGACTGGTTCTAATTCCAAGATGTTAAAGCAAACACCTTTGGGAATAGCTAAAGCAAAGGCGGACGCTAGAGTGATTGTTTTTGAAAGAAGAACTGGACGACTTCTTACAGGTACGGATGCACCTAAAAGATCTAATTTGAAGACATGGTTAAAAGAAAATCCAACCTTCGAAGCTGTACGAGCTGATAGTCTTAGTCAAGTAGAAATAGGAGGGAAAACTCTTACGGTATTACCGGCACAACGAATAACCAAACCTGGAAAATCTCCGCAATTAATAGCTGCTAAAGCACAAGCAATGCCAAAAATGGTATATACTAATATAGCAGGTTCGAAGCAAACCATTTTGATAGCCAGTAAAAAAATTACAGCCATTCCTGGTGGAACTCAGCAACAAACAAGTACACTGCACAATAAACCGCATCAATTGAAACAAACATTTCTCGATACAAGTAAAGGCAATTTGATTTTAAAACAAACACCTATTAGACCCGCATCATCACCTCAAAATAGAACACAAGGAACGATTGCACAGAAACAAATACCAAACAAGAAACAAGAAGTAAAAGTTTTAACACCTCAACCGAAACAACAAGCTAAAATACCTCTCGCAAGGAAGCCAGAAACTGAACCTATAAGATTAAACATACGAAAAACATTAACGGAACTTCTGTCAAGTCGTATTAAAGAAACTGATGATTTAAAACTAACAGACGAGGAAATAGCTGATTTAGCGTTTAATATAGAAATGGAAATGTACAAGTATTTCAAAGATACTGGTGCAAAGTATAAAGCTAAATACAGAAGTCTTGTATTTAATATAAAAGATACTAAAAATTTAACATTGTTTAGAAAAATAGCTGACAAATCTTTAGCACCAGACGCTGTAGTAAGATTAAGTCCAGACGAAATGGCTAGTCAAGAATTAGCTGAGTGGCGAGAGAAGGAAACTAAACATCAATTGGAGATGATCAAGAAAAATGAGTTGGATTTAATGGCACAAGCAAAATCCATAGTAGTAAAGACACACAAAGGTGAACAGATTATAGAAAATGATGGTAGTATTGGTATGGTAGATCCGAAAACACCGGTTCAAGATATAGTAACCGCTTTAAATAGTGGAGATAGCGTTAGTTCCATCGATACGACTAAGGAAAGAGAAGATGGAGATAGAATAAAAATGACAGCTGAAATGAAAAGATCGAAGAACGGGGATGAGGGTAGGAAAAAAGATAAAGAACGAGAAGGTTCTAGGGATGGTGGAAGATTAAGGAGTAAAGAAGGACGAGAAAGTAGTACGAGTAGAAGCAGACATCGTCACAAACGTGATAAAGATTACAGTAAAACGAGAGAACGTAGTAAGGATAGAAAAATCAAGAATAAAGAAAGTAGACGAGAGAAAGACAAAGAACGTGAAAAGGATAAGGATAAACAAAGAAATAAGGATAGAGAAAAGATCAAAGATAGGGAAAGGGATAGGGATAGGGATAGAGAAAGGGAAAGAGATAGAGATAAGGATAGGGAAAAGGAAAAGGAAAAGGAAAAGGAAAAGGAAAAGGAAAAGGAAAAAGAAAAAGAAAAAGAAAAATATATACTGAATGATAAAGAAAAGCATAAGGTAATCGACGTTTGGGCGAAAGCACGAATTCGTAATGAGTCGTCGAAGGAAATCAAGAATACTGGAGAGAAAAAAGAACAAGGACGTAAGAAGGATACAGAAAAGAAGAAAGAACTAACACCACCTATACCCGACAAACCGATAGAAGATCGTCTATGGAGGCATATAGAGGATGAAACTACGACTAATACCATTGATGGAAATGATTCAGACGTATCTGACAGAGAGCCGAGTTCTACCGTTACGATCAAAACGCCAGACATTAACGAAGAGCCCGAAAGATATACGGATCCTGAGATAGAAAAGGATATTGCTAAAACATCATGGCAAACAGTTTGGCGAGGATTTGTTAACATGGTAGATGTTGCTAAGTTCTTTATCACTGCTCAAGAAGTAAGTGGTCATGCCAGAGATCTAATGAACGATCTACCAGATACGGTCGACGTTGTTGGTAGAATAAGTCATGAAACTGTATGGGATTACATTTCGAAGATGAAGAAAACTGGATCTAAGGAAATCCTTGTTATAAGATTAACGGCGGCGAACGACGAGGAAAAAATTCCTTATATAACTTTATACAGTTATTTAAATAGTAGAAGTCGATTAGGTGTTGTTGGTAATGTTTCGAAAAATATCAAAGATTTTTATATAATGCCCTTTTCAAACCAAAGCACAATACCACGAGTTTTATTACCTCTCACTGGTCCTGGTTTTGAAGAAAACAGACCGCACTTGCTTCTTGGTATTATAGTACGCAATAGAAAGAAACGCTTGACAGCCATACCTCCGATAGTTTCTACAAAAGTCCAGAAAAAAGATCCTGATCGTAGTTATACGCCACCGTTAGTTGGTACTTCCAAAGATAAAAATTCTTCCACTACACCACCAGCCTCTCCTATGGGATATAAATCAACCGTTACTGATACTATTAAAGATAAACAAACGGTTACTCAGATGACCCTAGAAACTTTAAATAAGGCACACATTGGGATGTCCAAATCTGTAATGGACAGTGCTGCGATATGTAAAATTGTACCAGAATTATCTACGAAGATTGACCTAATACCGTCACCTCTTAAAACATTAGATGACGATGGCGATGAACCTTATAGTCCAGGTGAAATGGACGAAGATGCTACGAATATACAAACAGCAATGCATGATAACACAGACGTATTATCGTCCGCTAAAAATTCTACCGAATTGCAGAGGAAAATGGACGAATTGAATAGACAAATAGAAGAACAAAAACAACAAATACAAAACATTAGCTCTTCGTTTCTAAATGACACACCTACTCTGCCGGTGAGAGCACTGATAATTCAATTATTTTTTAATTGCGATTGTTACTGTTTTTCCTATAATCCCATTGTAAATAAACTGTTTGCATTTACTTATGGCATCCTATTCCTATCCTCAAGCTGCGTAGATATTTTTTCAATTATTTTACTCCATTATAATGTATTAAATAAAATATGTAATGCAATCATTATCATAGATCAGTGTGTATTTTTACAAAAAATAATTGATACCAAAATGTTTGTTTTATTTTGATATTGCAATCATGCAGTTCTATTAATATATGGAATGTATATCCCTTATTTTTAATGTAGTATGAAAGAGTTAATTTTCATTCCATTAAATATGAGATAAATACAATTTTTATATATACGTTATAAATTTGTAAATATTAATAATATTAACAAAGTATAATAATTTTGCTTCCTTTTCAGGGGTTGGGGTTAGATCCTCCAAATTCAAAGGATTCCGAAGAAGCTTACAGTCCTTCCGATACACGTTCGTTTACACCGCCACCACCGGGACTTTCTAAATTTGCCCAACCGATTTTGGATAAAGTTTCAGATATAACGATACCACCGAATCTACAAGAGATACTTGCGAACGTTAAACGACAAGAATCCTCAAAAGTGGATCCTTATCTCCCATCTAAGCCTAGTGCTACATTTTTAACTACTGTTAATTCAACAGCTTATCACAGTTCGGAAAAATACTCTTCTCCTTCCCAAAATAAAGGACCAAATTTAGGCAGAACAAATTCCGAAAAGGCAGCTTTCATGGATACATCGCAAACTGTTCTTTCGAAAGAAAGTAAGAGTACTTTAAGTACACTCAGTGATTTAGATCTTATAAGAAAAGCAGAGGAGGAATTAGCTGCTGTTGCAGCAGCATCGGCAGTATCGAACGTACCTACTGTGCCTATATCACCTGTTACGCCTTCCGGTACAAATCTTCTAACGCAAACGTCTACCGTAACACCTACGCAATGTGGGAGCTTGACGGCATCACCTACGATTCATCAGCCTATATTGTCACCTCCCATTGCTCACATAGAAACCTCATTCAAGAAGACCTTTGCGCCAGAACAACCGAAGCCCCCTGGTCTCGAAGATGAAGATTTTCCTGCATTTCCTTCAACACCACCGACAATGGACACCATGTCTAAAATGATACCGCGATCGAAGTACACTAATAAAAGTGGTATTGTGTTAAGTGTTAAACGAAAAATAAGCGAAGATGATTCTTCTCCTGCAGTCAAGACTTCGAGGACAAAATCTAGATGGGGTCAAGGGCCATCGGAATAAAATTTCTAAGAGGAATTACTTACTTTGTACTATGGACGGTACTATGGGAGAAAGCGCATTGCATCATATAAAACATAGTTATGTCATAGGTTAACGCGATAAAACAAATTTAACAGTTGAAATACTGTTATCAGAAAATGTCGAAGGGATGAGAAGACGATTTTCAGTATGAATGAAAATGAGTTACAGGGAAAAAAATTATCTCTTAGTATGGTTAAACAATTCTTTAACATTTTTGCTCCGAAGGGCGTAATAAAAATACAAAAAAAAAACAAAACGCTCCGTTAACCAGCGATCATATTTTGTCTTAATCACACTAATGCGAAAGGGTTAATTGTTAGAAAATGATCTATTTAAAATGCATTGGAAATAATTTTAACTTTTTATCTTATAGAAGAATATTTTCAAAATTAAAAACAAAGTGCAATGTATTATTCAATTTGCTTTTAATTATCATTTTCTAATTGAAGGATGATGATTTTATAAGATAGGAATCATATTGTCGTGTTCTATTATTATAAAACCATACTATGGTAGACAATTTTTTTCTACAAGATTGAAAGTAGTGTAGTAAGAAAGCAGGAATTGGATGATAATATTGCTGGTTCCTTGTTAAAAAATAGCGTATGTTAAAAGTATATGATAAACAAATTTTTTTGATGTAAATGTAAAAGATCTCTTAATTTTCGGGAAAAATGACTTTAAAAAGAATTTTAAACATACATGGATCAATTCAATTGTAAAATTTAAGAATTGTAATATCCCCTTATATTTTGTTATATAATTATTTTATATATTATAATTATAAGATCAAAAAATCGGAAATATTGTTACTGTATTATCTGTACATGCTATTACGTTGAATTGAAGTGTATGCATAATTTAAGGATACACAAAGTCATTTCTCTCTAAAATAAAGATTTATATTAAGAAAATTCTTATTTGCATAGTATTTTGTTATTTTTATTTTATTTTTTTACAAGGAACCATTTTTCCTTTCCTAGATGTTTCATCATTTCTATCACATCTTATACTTTGCAAATCAATGTTTTTACAACTATATTTTTAGAAAAAACATTGTGCGAGTCACAAAACAAAAATGTGATCCACAACTTTTGCCTTTTTTAATTTTTAATTATATATTGCTTTGAAAATATTATTGTTTCCTAGGTATTTAAAACAACTGTTAAATTTATGATTAGGAAAATATTTATAAAGAAATCGCATTTTTTTATTATTAAAATTATCAAATTTATGCAAACGTTATAATCGTAAATACTTATTTTCTTTTATTATTTTATTTTAAAATATATGGGTATATTAATTATCAAGTAAATTTCTATATTAATTTCGTTTCTTTTTTGGATAGTATTCAAGCATAACTGATGTAAATACCAAAGTGAAAAAGAAATGAATAAACATATAAGCAAATTTAATGATTATTATACCGCTTGAAAATGATGCTTATCAATGTATATAGCTGAATTGAAAGTTGTGTAAAATATATTTTGTTAAAAATTGCCTGAAGAAGGATTAAATAATTCCAGGCTTATCTAAATCAAGTTAAATAATATCAATGTATATAAGTTAGACGATTTCATTTTATTGAAATGCATTTTAATTGGTTGTACATTATAAATGATAATTGATCCATGTACCGATAATTATGAAACTGGATTAAATTAAAAAACTCTCTTTAATGATTTATTTTAGATATAATATATTATTTAAATTTAAAATAGTCATAAAAGAGAATTTTTCAATTTAATCCAGTTTCATAATTCCCGCCACCTATATAAGGTATACATTATATATTATTGCAATGTCTGATTTTATTGAAATATCTTGTAAATGTAAACTAGTTTCATACGTAACATTTCTTTTTAAAGAAATTAATAACAACAAGAAAAGAAACGAATTATTTTCTTTATAATTACATAAAAGATTTGACATTTTGAAAGGCTTTAAACTATATGTTTGATCTTCCTAGTCGCCACACGACTTATTGGTGATGTATCAAACTTCCACGTGTATTATGTTATATCCTATGTAAACAAGCAGTTCCATTAAGTAAACGTTTATAACGTTTAAACCAATATCAAGAAAGTTAGTGCAATTGTTCTATTCGATACTATGAAAAATAGTTTCAATTTCAATATTTTGTTCTTTACAAAATATAAACATAAACGGTGCATATATGCATTGAAAATATTCATTTTATTTTATTGTTTCTTATTATTATTCAATTATCATAATAGCAATTATACATTAAAGCAATTATCATAATTACAATTATCTATATATATATAAAAATTTATGTTTATAAATTTTTCTGATGCTAATCAATAATGTAGCTATATTTTAAACTAACGTTCTTTTAATTTGTTTAAGTATGGCATCAAATACTTGTTCGCATACATCATAGCACATAGTTTTCGGGTTCTAGTATATTATCATTATACATGATATATATCATATTGTACTATTAAGCTATTTAGCAAACAATTACATATGTGAAAGTACCCATACATCTAGTGCATTATAATCAAGTTAATTTGCATACATTCTCAGAAATATGCCTTTCAATATGCAATATGTTCAGTGTATACTTTTTAGAAGGTAGTCATTTTAATATCTACTTTTGTATATCCTTGGATGATACAGCAAAAAAATAAAAATCATAATGTATTATCACAAGTAATATCACAGATGAGATCGCATAAACCAATTAATTATACCCATTATTATTATTATTATTATTATTATTATTATTATTATTATTATTATTATTATTATTATTATTACTATTATTACTATTATTATTACTATTACTATTGTGAATATAAGACGATTTTGCTGCCTAGAACGTGAACGTATTAGTTATTTAATATATATATATGAGTATATATATATCATATACATAATTAATGAAATAATTGGAATAATTTAGCTAGCTTATAGAATGGGGCGCCAAAAATATAAAAAGAAATAATCTGCTTGACCAACTGCTGGTTTTTATGATATTTTTTTTCTTATGTTAGATCTTTTACTTCCTAACACTTATTTGACCGCTCGTTTTTGAGGCTGTTGTTCAGTTATTACTGGTTTAGATGCGCATGCATTTGTTTCTAGCAATAGAAAAGTCAATTAATCGGCTAACTGTCGACGAGCGTTGGCAATGAAAAGCCGGTGAATAGGCTAGCGGTAAAAAAAGTGTTAACAAATTATTAACATAAACAAATAGTTATTCGTATATTCCATTAATATGATTACGATAATGATGATGTTGTGAAATCAAACCACATTTATGTAGAATATGTCCAATTGTCTCTCGGTAATAAAAAATAAATTTCATTCTAATATATAGTTACTTTCAAATATGATGTACTAGAGTTGGTGCCACTGTAATTTTAGAAGAATATTTGTAAAAGCAGGAAGGGACACCAAATAATAATCGATAAAAACCTTAGATAAATCACTGTATGCGAAATGAATATAATTTATTTACAAAGATAAAGTTTTAAAATAACACGATACAATAATTATAAAACAAGAAATGAGTTAGTATAAATTAAAAAATCAGTTCAATGATATAAATTTCTTTAAATGGCAATTTAAAATTTGGAGTCATTTTAAAAGTAAGACTAGAGTGCGCTGACGCCAGTTTAGCTATACACTCGCATCTGCATGTGTCATGTTAATGAAGTGATTTTGTTTACGCTCAAAAATTAGTTTATTTTATTAATTCACAAATATTTTTTTATTATATTTATAAAATATGGATTATCGATTATAATTAAAAAACAATTTATAAATGTTAAGTAAGATCTCACTAAATTTACCAAAATAATAAAACATGATCAAGATCTAACCTTTTTTCTACTCATTGTCAATATGACATCATGTCAAAAACTCGCGGTATGAAATTCGTGAATCATAAAATCTAGAAAATGAAATACGTATCTTTACTTTATTACAAGATCAGCAATCGGAATAATCAATGAAAAAAAGTAAATATGACTGCTATAATATTACTGTTTTGTATAAATATAGTATTAGGACAGGAATATGAAGGTTGTTTTAAGAGTCCTGCCGAAGATCCTGATTTATCATCCTTAATTTCAAGTCGTATTACTACACCCACTGAATGTATCGAACAATGTCATTCTCATGATCACATGTAAGTATATACATACATGCATTTAAATTGTAGGATCAGTTAGAAGTAAACATAAATGCATAATATATATTATTATTATTATAATAATAATTGCAGGTTTGCCGGATTACAAAATGGACAAAGATGTTATTGCGGTAGCAAGTTTGGAAAGAATGGTTTGTCTGACGCTTGCAATATTTCGTGTATTGCAGATACATCTAAATATTGTGGAGGTCAGGAAGCTATGAGCATATATTCGACTGGACAAAAAGGTATATTTTGCATATATATTTATTATTGGTTATTATAATGTTGTTTTGATTTAATAAATAATTATTTGATTACAGGTCCTAGTAGGCCAAGAACTATTCAAATAATTCCTCAAAAAGATAATAGCTTTTTAATAACATGGCAGCCGCCAGATATATCTAATGGAAATATTACATCTTATACATTGACAGCTGTTGCTATTAAAACTTATGCTTATAACATTTTACCACCGATAGAAAGTCAAGTACAAGGTGGTACATCTAATAATACTATTTTAAGAGGTCTTCAACCCGGTACTAAATACAACATATCCATTTCTGCAAGTAATTCACAAGGAATTAGTAAACCAGCTTATGTTACCGAATGGACCTCCATAGGTCCACCAGATAAACCAATAACACCAAAAATATTAAATATAGATAAAACTACTATAACTGTTATGCTTTCCGAGGGAAGTAGCGAAAATGGACCAGTGAGTGCTTATCAAGTCGTAGTAGTTCAACCTGGTACAATATCTCCTGTGGGTTCGGATGTTTTGTATTCAAATTATGAAAAATCGTTTCAAGAAGGTTTAGGTTATTATATAACAGCAGAATTCGATGCATCAGATTTTCATAATTATAAAAAATTTGTGGTAGGGGATGGAAGATTAATAGGCGGATATTACAACGCTCCTCTTAAAACTGATTCCATGATACCTCAAATAGGATTAGTTGTTATATCGAAAGCACAAAGAGAAGTGCAGTATTCCTATTCTAATTTTACCAACAGTATTAAAGAATCTCAAAAGGATAAAATTTATCAAATGGATCCTGACGTGATTGTCTTTATTTTACGTATGGGAATTATTTTCTTGGGATCGTTACTTATTATATCTATACTAATATTTTATTTAATCAGACGCCGTCATGAAAAGGCACATATAATCAAACTCCCGGAACAGCAAGAATTGACTTTACAAGGACCGTTGCACGAAGTAGATAACATGGGATATATTCCAGAAGATGTACCAGAAAGGGTTAATCATTATCAAGAATTAAAGAATAAAGTGTGGAGTATACCACAAAGTAGTTTATCGATCAATAATGCGATCTTGCGTAGAGGACGATTTGGTACAGTTCACTCTGGTACGGTACAAAAAGATGATCAAACTTGTTCGGTGGTAATTCATACTATAGCTGATCGTTCTTTAAAACCGTCAGAAAAGCAAGCCATGTTAAGAGAGTTAGATGTATGTATCAAAGCATCAACGATGATGTATCTTGCAGGTTTAGTTGGAACCTGTGAAACCTCGGATACGTTATACGTCGTTCTAGAAATACCTCCGCAATTATTGAAACATTTATTATTATCTGCTAGATCTGGAACAATATTTCCAGTTGATCAAATATTACCCATAGGTTCTTCAATCGCATCCGCGTTGCAGCATCTTGAAAATTATAAGATCGTTCATACTCATTTATGTGCTAGAAGTATAGGTATTACCAATGATTGGATACCTAAGGTCATGGGTCATGGTATTTCAAAGTACGTCTTGGAAGACATAAACTTTGCTCGATGGAGGGCAATAGAATGTTTTACTAGTAAAAAGAAACATCAGCCTGGTGTTGTCTGGGCGTTTGGAGTACTTTTATGGGAAATGCTTAGCATGGGTGGAACTCCATATTCAAATCTTTCATTTGATAGCGAGGTAGAGGAAGCGGTTGAACAAGGTATCAGGTTACCACAATTACCAGATACACCTGATCCACTGTACGAAGTGATGTTGTCATGCTGGCAAGTGGATCCAGAAGAAAGGCCAACTTTTGACGAGCTTGAGAGATTGGTAAGGTTTTAATTATTTATATTATTTATAGTTCATTAACTTACTCTAATAATAAAAAATATTAATTAAATATTATAATGTTTTTTTCAGAATACTTTGAGTATATGTCCAATCACTGCATTTACGGAACCTTACATTCCTGAGTTGGAGTTGAATTAATCTCGTTAAGTATATAATAATTAAAGTTACATATGAATTATTCATAACGTAGAAGTACACCGACTGTACAACAAACTGGAAATCATTAACGTCGTAAATTCACGCCGATTAAGATGGGCTGGTCACGTGGCGCGCATGGGGGAGGATCAAACGGCGCATAAAATACTGATCGGTATATCGAACGGGAAAAGACCACTAGGTAGACCGAAATGTAGATGGGAGGACAATATTAGAAGAGATCTTAAAGAAATAGGTTACGAAGACCGCGAATGGAGGGGTCACGCTCAGGGACGGGAACACTGGCGGGATTTGGTATTTGCGGCAATGAACTTTCGAGTTCCTAATGCCAATTAATAATAATAATATGAATTATTCAATATTTGTAGATATAATGTGAAATGATTAGTACTTAAAATCATTATATCTACCTCAACCGACTTGTTCGACACGTATGTTTGGAAGACTGATAAAAAAATTTGTTGTTATGTTTACATTTAAAAAGAAATGATTTGGAATTTGAAACAATACTTATAATTTATATTTGAAAGAAAGAATTAGATTACATTACAGCTAAATTCGTCTAAGTCGTAAGTAAAATAACTAAGTGATTTACTGTTACATTAGTAAATGGTAAATCGTGCTGATATCTATTGCACCATATCTAATATTTATATTTATAAGGTGTTCGTAAATTAAGCTTTTTATACGCCATATGCAGTTACCATTTATATATTCTAGACTAGATGATATTTAATTTCACTCAATATTTCAAATGTATATTGTATTTTTATTTTTTTTTTATGAATGATATTTTTTTATACAAAATTATAACTACAATTTCCGTCCATATTTCGCTAGTTAAATAATATTACTACATATATATAAATACAGTTATATATATAACTCTCTACTCGACATTCCAAATGTACTGTAAAAATAAAAAACGAAGTATTTTTGTTTGATAGTATTATATACAAGATACATATTTGTATATGCAAAGCAAAATTACTTGATACTCTAACAAATAAATCTGTATGGTACAAATAAAGATAATACAAGTATCAAAATTATTTGGTTTTAATTGTAAAAGATGTTTACAATATTGCGCTGATATATCCAACTATTAAGAACACGATATCTTTGCAATGATTTAAATTATTATAATTTAAAAAAATTATAAAAATATGACACGTAGTGAATGATTGAATTTAATTCAAATGTACAGATTCAAATTTACGTTAGTCACGTTAACGGGGGTGACGAGATTTTACTCGAGTGCGAGTGTGTTGGTTTCGGGCTAGTCGTTGGTATTCTGTTCGAGCCAGGACATAAGATTTGTTTGTAAGCTTCTCTATACAATTTGTTGGTACCAGCGTAAATAAAAGGATTTATAACAGAAGATGCCCAAGCTAATATCGAAGCAATCACGTGCACCGTTGGAATGCTAATTTTTTCGTCAATTACGTTGACTAACATAAGCGGCATAAAACAAGTTAAAAAACACAAAAATATAATCAACATAAGTCTGGTAACTCTGGAGTCTTCTCTCCTTTGAAATCCACCACCGGCTTTTCTTCTTCCTCCAGGAGCATGAGCTTCCAAGTTCTTTCGACTCTTTCTTACGCGCCAGTAAATACAAAAATAAGAAACGCTGATCACTACGCAAGGTACGATAAAGCCTATGACAAAGAGCACCTTTTTTGGACTAGAATCGTTTTTCTTCAAAATCGTACAAGAAAAGGTCGTTGGATCTAATCCAAGTGTACCCCAGATGCCTACCAAAGGGGGTATCAAAAGGGAGAAACTAAGGGTCCATATGGCGATCAACATCAATACAATACCCCTAGTAGTGTATATTGCGGCGTAGATATCCGATCTTGATATAAGTACGTATCTAAAGAAAATAATAGAAATATTAGTTTTCAATGTTGACTGATAAGATTTTTAGAAAAAGATAAGTTGAAATATTTTTTTTTTAATTTCGAATGTATCTTAAACGAATTCAAAGAAATTTCGTTCGATTTTTATTACCTTCAATAAGATATCACTTTACAAATTAGAATAAATGAAACATTGACTCATTGATGATTCAACGCACATCAAATCATAAGCGTTAGTATACTTATGAGTTAGAGATTACAGACCTGTTGATCGTAATCGCTACCATACTCAGCAACGAGACAGCAACATTTCCATAAAAGAAAAGTGGGAAGATCTGACAAAGAGTATCGCCAAGGATCCAAGCTTCGTTTAAATATCTGCTAGCCGTCAATGGTAAATTAACAGCTGAGAAAATTAGATCAGAGACGCTAAGACTTATCACGAATGCCGTTGTAGCGTGTCGTCTTAGTCTGGTATATTTCAGTAGCGCGATTACTGTCACCAAATTACCTTCAATTAAGAAGAAACTTAGTAATTACTCTTAATATTTTCATCAATTAACTACAAGTTGTCTTAGTGACATTTTTTAAGTCAAAATTAAATGAAACAAATATTTACGATTGTTGAATATACTTCAGAGCCGAGTAAAATCTATTATTTAAATATTAAGAAAAATATTATGTTATTTTTAATCTCTTATTTATTAGACAAAATAGATTTTATTTACTTCCGTTAGAATTATTTATAATTTTGACTTTTAGAAATTTTTCTATGCGATTTCAACATAATAATAATTAAATAAAAAATAATTAATATATAAATATTAATACCTATTATACCAATAATACTGAAGATTATCGCGCAAATGGCAGCAGTCATGGTAGCTGATCGAGAAAAATGTTTAAAAGCTTCGATTTCTTCGTCGTCATCGAAGCTGGTGTTTATCAATGAAGAGTTAGCCATATTCTCCTTTTTCTTCTCTTATTCTTGAAAAAATATCGTTTTCTTTACATCCTTTCGAATGATCAAATTTGGATAGAACAATCCTATCGCACGAATATATAAATCTGAAAATATTTATTAAACATTGGACTTTCTTTTTCAAGACATTTTCAAGGCTTAAGGATAAACACACAAACGCACACAACACTTTAACGTAGATTCTTTTAACAAGTCCATTAATCTTAAAGTACGCTTATTTATTTGCAAGCAGTCGCCTATAGATCATAGAATAACGACCCCTCTTTAATGAGTTTGACGATTAGATACACATATACACGTTGTAAACACTATCATCACATGAAAAACATGTATTATTTATTTAAACGAACGTTCGATCCTGCTTTTTTTTAATTTACTTTAATTATTATTATATTTTATTGAATTAAAAAAATAATAATATTTAAATACTTTGTCATTTCTATTTGATTAGATCGATTTCTTTACAATAACATATCGAGTTTATTAAAGTTAACTTTGTTATGTCGAAAACTTATTAATTTATAAATAATATTCAAATACTTCGTCATTTTTATTATATTTAATTTAATTTAATTTAATTTAATATTTGACGACTTTAGTGGTCAATTTATTTTTATTTTTTAATTCCTCGTTGAGATCATAAGATGTAAGTAGGCTCTCGAGACAAGAAAATAATAGGATAAACAACGCGTAACCTTCTTTTACTCGAAGACCGATCCAGACTGACGAACTCTGACCACGTATGCGCCCTTTACCAGTGTACACATGCTCTACTATCTTTATCTAATGTTATTTCTTTCCCTCTCTTTTTCTCTTTCACCACCTCCTTTCACGCCTTCTCCTTCTGTATTTTGTGACCGCAGCTTCCGAAGCGATACGTTTCATTTTTTTCTAATCTCATTTTATGCAATTTAAGCTTATATTTTATTTTTATGCATAGATTTCATTGAAAACATATTTAATTTGATATTAAAGTTTCTAAATTATTATAACAAATATATTGCACATGTGCACATATTAGATAATATACAAATTTGTAAATAATTAAACGATTGTATTTTATAGATTAGATTAAATAGAATCAATTCATTGTAATGAATTATTATCATCTACTTAAGTATATACGTTAAAGATAGTATAATGATTTTCAAAATATATGACCGTGTTAAAATGATTATTCTTTTTTTAATGTAGTTATAATTTCATAAGTTTGATTAGACAAAGTGTACTTCACAAAAATTCTTGTAATATTCATTTTTTTAAAATTGTGTACTCTTCACGATCGAGCATTTATTAATATAATTCACGACACACCTCACTTTACTTTTATCGTAAACCGCCTTAAACGCGCATCTTTTTGTACGTGCATCGTATGTTTCTTTTAAGATTTTCATCTTCAAATTGATTATTTTCAATTATTGAATTATTAAAAAAGATGATAATTACAAATATTACTTTACTTATTAATTTAATTTAAAATAAAAAGATCAGAGTAACATAGGATTTGACCTTTAGATTTATTAAACAGATTAATGATCGATTTCAAGAGTTTAACGATTAAATAAAAAAAAAAAAGACAAGAAAAACTAAGGATAAACAAGTCTAGAAATTAGTTTCCCGTAGAGCTGAAAATTTATTTCGATTGTCTTTAATAAAAAAAGGTCAACGTACCAAGTTTAATCGACTATATTTGATAATCACACAATTCTCTTCTCGATCAATGATCTTTAATTTTAGATCACTCCGATGTTTTAATTTTCATCGAACATTTCTTCTTTTACACTAGCAAATAATTAATTAATATCATATTTACTATTCATCGTGTCCGATTCTTTTACCTAATTCTAGTTAAAGTAAAAAATTGAGACATGATGGATCAAAAGTATTTCAACTGTAACACGCGACTGGATCGAAGTTAGACAAGTTTAGTGGCTCGTGCTATCGTTTCTGAATTTCGAATAGGAAATGTGAGAATCCCATGGGAGAAAAGAGACGATTGGTCTCGTCCCCACTTACTCTTATACCTGTAAACTGCTGCTACTGCTGGTTTGACCTCCCACCCCACTTCCTATTTCCCACCTTAGCCCACCTTAGTCTACCACGGCAAGAACCAGCTGTCAAACTGACTACTACTTACAAAAGACACCAAACAATCGACAAGAACCGTTTCCTTGCCCTTTTTACAAGAGCATACTGCGTGTATGTAAGCTCTCCCTTCTTTTCACTCTCTTACCTGTCTTACATCTTTCTACCCCTCGCGAAATGATCCCCGATGTAGAATTCGAGTTATGACTCTGACTGGCTATGACTTCCGACTTGCTGCTATTCTAAAGGATCGTTTGAATTATTCTAATATTTTATTATAAGTTGTATAATAGATTGTTCAATTAAATAGTTTATAATATTTAAATATATAGTTTATATTCTTCAATTGAACATTTTTTTTTCTTCTTTCATAATCGATTTGTATTATTTGTATTATTTCAAACGCGTTGGAGTCGTTAGACATTGTCTGAGTTTTTTAAACAACAAGAATAAAGATCTTTGTATTTTGAGAAATTTTTACACAGTGAAAAATTTTAAAAGAGAAAAACGGGACTCACGGAAAGTAATCAAAAGTTCTTTCTAAAACGTTATCCTTCAGATAATCACCCTATGTAAACTTTGTAACCGAATTTCGGCTTATCGTTTACCTAAATATTTCTATCGTGGGGGAAAGAAAGATTTATATTTAGAGAATTGATGAACAAGTTATCTCTTGTATAAATTCAATATGTGCGTATCTCTCGATAAGAAGAAAATTATGTTTTATATTTCTGTTTTTTTATACTATCATTTTTCTCTTTCCCAATATGATTAACCTTTTGTCCTATAAACTTATTATAATATCCAAGAATTCTGTCTGTAATATTTAATATATACTTTCTGATAATTTTAATCATTGTCCAATGAAAAGATTGGTTGTTTAATCGTTAATATTAATTCATCGAATAGCAGAATCGAAAAATACACACTATAAGTTAATAATTATTCACGTTGAATATATTATATAAATAACCTTCTATAGAATGTTTCAAGTTTTATATCATTTAAAAAAAATAGTTAAGCAATTATTTGATGATGCCAATAATTAGATTCTTCCTGTACAGAAAAAAAAATAATTAAAAAAAAGCCTATTGAATAAAACCAAAATGTGTCAACGTAATGTGTATGCATTACTATGCCAACGTATGGATATTCGTTTGGTAGGTTAATTCATTATACGGTTATGTGATGTATGTAGAGAAATCTTAACGATAATGACCATAAGATCGTTCGTTGGAATCCAGTGCCTCTCAATAATTTTCCCTATGTCAAATATCAACTATTATTAGATAAGATGTACTCTCATAATAATCACTTTCTTAATAACGTTATACGTTCCAATTGACGATATAATATTTTTGTTTTTCTTCTTTGTTAATTTTTATTGCGACATTGAAACATTCGATGTAAAAAAGAAATATAAAAAAAAATTTTTTTAAATACTATGATATTTTTTTGTTAAATTGTATACAATTAAACGTGCAAATTAAATTCTAACAAAATGTTTTGGTTTCATTATTTACCGTTAAACATTGATTATTCGTTTTTTTTACGATATCGCGTAAAATAGCAAAAGAGTTAAGAAAAAAAGGGTTAATCCTCAGACGTAGATAGATCTAATACCGTTTGAGAACCACCAAGGCTCGTATTGAATGAACTCATTGTAAGCAACCCCGTGAGCCCTCATACATACACCATTTGAATTCAACAAAGCTCTTCTTTATTCACGAAATATTCTCTAGCGTCTGGGGCCATGTTTCAAAAGGGAAAGACGATTTCGTCCGAGGAGGTGCAACCGAAAAGAAAATAGAAAAAGAAAAAAAGAAAATAAAAAAAAAATTCAGATGGGTTCTCGTAAAAGCTGCTGTCGCCGTCAGCGTCGCTCCAAGTCGATTATCAAAAACAGGGGAGGGAGAGTTTAATAGGGGAATTTTCTATTTACGCACGTGCGTCCCTCGACATTTGGGTACTACCACAATAAACAGCAAGGATAGCTTTTACAGAGAAATTTTATACTTCAGGATGTGATCCTTATAAGTCAATTTTACTTTCTTCCCATAAAAAATAAAAATAAAAAATAAATAAAAATAAATTAACATACTTAATTTTTTATATAACAAAATTTGTCATCTAATCTTTTAGATTTTGCTAGAATTAATAATTGTGGGATTTGAGTCATAATGATCAACAAAAAAAACGATTTTTCATTCGAAACGAAAGAAATTTTTTTAAAGAAAAAAACAAAATAAATTAAATGTTGAATATTTTTTGCGTAATGCTTAGAATTTTGTAATTATCACAATAAATTTCTTATCTTTTCTTTTATCGTATTTCCGGCACTATGTTCCTTTCTCCTATCTAACAAAGTTTTGTCGTGCATAAGGAATTAAAATTATGTCAGAAGCGATGGAAGTTTATAATTCTTATTCTTTTTTCTTTTTTTTTACACAGATACCCACAATAAATAATTATTCATAATGTTGAATATGCAATTTTAATGGTTTTTTTATATGAAAAATAATTTTGATTTCTCAGTAGATCAATCCCTTTTTTCATTTGATAAATTTCTTAATTTCATTTATTTATTCTAACTTGTATTCTATTGCACGTATATTTATAACAAATTATTCATTTATTATATTCTACCTATATATTTACTAAAGCATTTGGTTCGATCATAACATTACAGAATTTGTTTGTTTCTTTTTCATTTTCTTAATGTTACGTAAAATAAATCATGTTCTTCTTTCCGTATTTCGACATTGCGTAGATTCGTTAGAATTATTTCTATTACTACCGTTTGCGTTACATCTAACGTTGTTTTTCATTACAATATTAAATAATAATTATAGAAATATTGTAATCAAATGCGATACAAATTTACTTAGATATGTATGTATGCATATATAATATATAAGCTACATATGTACACAGATAATATTGTAAAAATGTAAGTAAAGATATATTCGATTTTATTTCTCAATAAAAAACATGATACTTTTGTTAGATATTATGGCAGTAAAAACAAAATAACTGATCCTCATCGGTATCTAGGTACGAGCATTGTGAAATTATGAATTAGAAGATATGAGAATCTAATGTTAATTGCATCGTAATAGAAACTATTTTGAATATTAATATGATATGCGTAGTTTCAGTATTATTTAGAAAATTATATTATTTCTTTATTAAAAGTTAGTGTTGTTAGAATTTGGAATCGGATAATGTTCTCCTATGAACAATGGCAGATTCTTGCACAATTCGTGAGGACTCCGTAAAATGACTATATAAATTTATATCGAAGATTATAATCGTATTTGGACAGTGTATTTCTTATTTTCTCATTTGCATGAACGATTGAAATGAAAGAATTTAAATTGTGCATAATTCATTTATTTTAATGAAGACCCCAAGAAGGACTAACCCTACGACCTCTTTGAAGAATAAAACCGCCATTGTTTATGAGGTTTCCTTATACGATTCTAATGGTCCAAAACATTATAAATAAATGGTCATTACGAAGTACATTGTCTGTAAGTTTGAGACTTTCGCTCGATCTCCCCGAGATGTTTCGCCATTTCTATGGTTAGAGAGTCTACCTCAGTCATGAGATCAGCGAGTATTCTTTCATTGTCTTTGTAAACGCTTTCCATACCATCTAAATCCTTGAATTTGGTCGACGTGTCAGCTGTTAATTCGGAAGCTCTTTGAAGTAATTTCTTCGCTCTTTGTATGTCACCTTTGCTCTTATTTACACGATAGTTCAAAGATTCGTCAGCCTTTTTATACTCCTTTTCTAATTGTTTTGTTTTACCATCTACTATATGCGCCTCTTGGGCAACTTTACGTGTTTCAACTTCGATTTCTTGATTCAAGATAAAGGCATTTTTAGCCGATTGCGTTTGTAATTGTCGTAGCCTTGCGTCCAAAGCTTTTACAGAATCGGTAGTATCGTTAGCTTTCATTTGAGCTTCCTCAATGGTCACGGCTATATAATTTAAATCTTGTTGCGCTTTGTCCACGTCATTTTGTGCTTTGTTTATCGCAGTATGGGCCAATTCTTGTGCCTTTTTCGCTTCTGTCAAAGACATTACGATCTCGTTCGTTTCGTTTTGTTTCTTTAACGCTGCCTCTTTAGCTTTGTTAGCACGTTCTACTAAACTATGAGCCAGTTCGCGATCGGCTTTTGTATCATCAAGAATTTTGTCCGAATCTGTGAGAGAACCGACTATTGTTTTTATGCGATTGGCTAATTGGGTGATCTCATCTGGTTTCAAATGTATATTCTTGATCAATATTTTCTCAGCTAAATCTCTCACCATCGTTGGCGTTGGTTGGTCCTCGTTCAATATACTCCAAATTCGTTTGTTAATATCGGACAAACTCTTCGTTATCGCATCCGTACGATTTCTTGCTTCCAAAGCATTGTTAAACGCGTCTTGTGCGTTCGATCTTGCTGCTATGGCGTCTTGTTTGACTTTAGTCAACTGTAAAAATGTTAGATTTTGTGAGAAATGATAAACAAAATTTTACAGGGAAATAGAAGATCAGACGATTAACTTACATTACGTAATAGTTGCTCCGCTTCATCTCTTCGACCTTTAATTTTAGCAGCCTGTTGTTTGGCCATATCCAAGGCTTGATTAGCTATTGTTATCGCACCAAAGTCACATGAAAGTCCTCCACAAAAGCCACATCCAGCACCACCGCAAACGTCGCTACAATCTGTGACATTTGCGCCGCACATTCGAGTATTCAATTCACGCATACCTCCGTTCAATGCATTTAACTTATTAGTTAATTTTTCTAAAGATTCATTATTTCTTTCTTGAGCTTCATTAACCGATGCACTATTTTTGGCTAAAAGATTTTCCGTATGTTTACGATATCTTTCCGCATCAGCCAGAACGTTATTAGTATCGTTCGCCATTTTTTCGGCATTTAGAGATTGCTCAGCCATTTGTTGAGTTACGTTTAGCGCACCTTGAACATTTTCCTCTTGCAATATCGTAGCGTTCTCTTTCAATTCCATGGCACCTTGATGCAAACTGTTTGTTCTATTTTTCAATTTTTTTAACGCTACATCGCCAAGATTAACTCGTTGACTAACGTTTTCTAACAAATTATCGACTTCTTCTAATCGTTTAGCCGAATCCGATACGTTCTTACTCAATTCCTCGGCTAAATTAGTCAATTCGTCTAAATCTTGACTCTTGATGGAAGTGTTGCTGATCAAATCGCGTACTTGGTTTAATGAATCGACCATGTCGTCGAATTCCAGACTGTAAACTCCAGCAGTACCGACTTGTTGTATTCTGGAAGCCTCATCGATGACAAGCTTTGTCTTGTTTTTCAATTCGGTCAATGTTAAATCCCAATTGTCGAAACATTCACCGCATGGGCTACATTGGGGTGCTTCGCCGTGATAACCACGGTCACACTGATCACATTTTTCACCTCCTATTCCTTTGTGACAAACACAGACACCAGTTTCTCTATCACACTGTTGACTTGCCGAACCAATTTGATTACAGTCGCATTTGGTACATTCGATATTTGGATTTCCCCAGAAATTCGTTTGACATTCATTGCATCTTCGTCCACCGAAACCAGCTCTGCACTCGCAATTTCCATCGAAAGGATTACATCTATTTTTAAAAACAAGAATTAACAATAATCAAATGAAAGGTTTAAATGATTACATAAATATTATGGTAATTATTGTATATACTTGTCAGATACACTTCCGATAGCGTCACATTCGCAAGGATCACAACCTTGGCCACTAGCAATTCTCCAATGATTTTCCTCGCAAGTATCGCAATGTTGACCAATTACATGAGGCAGACAAGGACACTGTCCAGTACGATGATTGCAAGGTCCAGCGGATCTGTCAGTTCCAAGGAAATCGCAGTTACATTCTTGACAATTTTGCTTAAGTGCATCACCATAAAATCCGGCAGTACAAATTTGACAGTTTGGTCCATCGGTATTGTAGAGACATTGTAGGCAACGTCCACTGTGTGGATCACAGTTACCAGGTACACTCAGATCGGTATTATTACTACAATCGCAAGGTTCGCAACTTCCACCTGATACTTCAGGATCGCCGAAATAATTCTCAGCACACTTTTCACAACGTGGACCGCTGTAACCCTCGTAACACTCGCAAATTACATCCTGTGTTACAGAATCGAGGGAACAACTATCGGCGTATGAGTGATCAGAATCTAATGTTCCTATATGTATAAAAAAAAATTTTTAACCATTTATTATTTCAAATAATTATATAAAAGAATATATTTATTCTTATTTCATTCTTTGAGAAAGGATTCTTGCCTGGACAAGGACAAGCTCTGCATGGAATGTCAACTCCTATTCTTGGATCTCCATAAAATGTTTCGATACAACGATCACAATTGTGGCCAGTGGTAAAATCACGACAATTGATGCAAGCTCCGGTTTTAGAATCACAGTTATCCGCATGACCATGACATTGACATCGTTGACAATGTGGGAAATCCCAAAAACCTGGTTCGCATTGACCACACGTTCTACCATAAGTATTCGGTCGACACTTGCATCGTCCGGTTTCGACGTCACAAAAGTTATCTAAAGCACCAACACCATCGCAGTCACAAGGTATGCATCCTCCTGGACCAAATCCATAAGTTCCTGGAGCACAGCGATCGCATCGTCTACCAACTACATTAACTTTACAAGGACATGCGCCACCATAATTTTGACAAAGAAGACTATGCGATCCTGTAGGATTACACTCGCAAGCTGAAACAAAATAAATATTGTGTTATAGGTATACTCTCATTTGTCTAGTCTTTAGATATAGTCATTTACGTAAGGCTCATTTCACTTACGATGTGCACCCTCGAAAACATAATAACCGATACTATCCTGAAACTTTTTACACATATTAGGTAAACTATTCCGAATATAATTGAAATCATTTAACGCTTGATTACACAATTCATATTCCTTATAACGTAATTCACCAACATCAGGTTCGTTGAAAAAAGGTATGGCATCTATTCTAGGCTTTACGACAATCTTGAAGAAAAAATTATTAAAGATAAAATTAGAGTACACAGATACATTAATTGACTTATGTATAAATACTTACGGAATCAATTAATATAGATGCTGTTGATGTATCTACATGACTATTAAATTTACGGAATTGCAATATGACATTATACTGTTTGTCTTTTTCCAAGCAAACGGAAGGTTGAGCAATAGCGTTTCTTGTATGATATGGTAACTGTACCCACAATCGATCATATTCTGGTTTCGATTGGGCACAAGGACCATTAGGGTCAACAGGTCCATCTCTTTCAATAATTATTTGGACGTCTTCCCATGTACCTGGTTGTATTGGTTCATAACGTACTATTATATCATACCACATAGATCTGCGGATATCATCGATGGTAAAGTTGAGCGTTGAGTCTTGCAAAGCTTTCATGAATCCTATACCAGTCCAAGTACTATTTCTTCCATCGCGATAAGGTTCTCTTATTACAACTTGACAATTCTGAAGAAAATATTGATGTAAAGTAAAATGAATGAATTAATGGAGTATTATAGTGTGAGTACCCATTTTCGAGGTAATTTTTGGAAATTTAATTTAAGGAAACGTTTCAAAATGAATTTTACTTTGACATTTTCAGGACCAATTTTTAAGATTCCGATTTATAAGAATATGCAAAAAGAAATAAGTTTTTTTGATCAGACGCACTAGAATACTCCCTTGAATAAAAATAAATATTTATATTATAAATATTTAAATTACTTCAGTTGCTCTGGATAGTTCTCCTTCGTAAATTAAAAAGTCTAAAGAGCCAGTATAATAGCTTTGTTCCGGTTGATTACAAGTTCTACCAATGACGTGAGGTCTGCATCGACATTGGCCGGTAATAACGTCACAAGAATTTTCGTATGAACCACCAGGATCGCAATCGCAAGGCTTACATCCTTCGGGATCCTCAGAAAGTCCCCAATATCCTGGCAAACACTGATTGCAGTCGCGAGCAGTGACGTAACGCTTACAAGTACATTCTCCAGTTTTCATATTGCAACCCTGGTTGCCGATGGTACCAAGAGTATTACAAGTACATGCTGTAAAGTAAACCAAACCAATATTTGTTCATTAATATTGATCTAAATATTTATTTGAAAAATATTTTATAACTGTTAAATATTTAATTGATAATTTTTAGTATAACATACCTTGACATCCTTGAGGATTTTCTGGATTGAAATTCCAAAAACCATTCTTGCAACGATCGCAACGACGACCCTCTACGTTCGCTTTGCAGTGACAACGGCCAGACTCATCGCCGCTAAGAATATCGGTTCTGGAATCGCATATGCCGTCGTCCAAAGAACCACTCAGATCACAATCGCAAGCTGTACAATTATAAAAATTAAAAAAAGTAAAATTAGCTGATCATTTATTACACAATAAGATTGAGTTTTAGGAGAACATCGAAATAACTTACGTTGACAAGCTTCGGGATGCGTAATATCTTTACTAACATCATGATAATAAAATGGTTTGCACTGTTCACAGTTTTGACCACGCGTATTATGCTGACAATCATCGCATACACCACCGGAAACTCTACCAGATTTTTCGTAAACCGTCTCGTCAAAGTGGCAGGAAGTTGTGTGATTGTTACAATTGCATGGTCTACACGCGTTAGTTTGTTTACCGACCGCAGGTTTCCAAGGTAAATCGTTATAGAAATCTTCGCATTTCTCACAGTTTAATCCTGTGGTGTTGTGAGTACACTCGCATCTTCCATGTACCATGTTTTCTTCGTGTGCTACTCCAGCTAAAGGAAGACATCTTGATGCGTGTCCATAGCAAGAACAAGATCCTCTAATTACCATGTCTTTGATAGCATAATAATATTTCTCTCCTATCTCGGGACGATCGTCCAACAAGTCGTCTCCCAAAGTGTGCAATTTCGTCATGTTGATTCTTAGATTGGTAATTTTCAACAAATTTTGCACTTCTATCGAATACGGATTTTCGATTTCCAAATTTCGTGGTAATACTCTATAACGTAATAGTAATAATAGTATCTTTATGGATCATGAAAACACATAGGAATGTTGTATTAATAAGCAATTAACAAAAGATCATTCACCTGAAAATGACTTCACCATCAGTTGACGGGGCAACCACAGAATAACGCGTTTCGCATATTACTTCGGTCAAGCTTCGTGGTTGATGTGTAGGTATGCCTGGAAATGATTGTTCGCAATTATGCGCAAAGTATCTGTAAACCTTCCAAGTTTTTCCAAAATCAAACGACCGTTCTATTAACATAGCTGCTGGACGGAATGTTTGAAAACGGATAATTATATGAGTGAAATGAAATTCAGCTTCGAAATCAACTCTTATGGTTACATATTCTTTTCCATTTTCTGCTTGCCACCAGTGTCGTGAATTTGTTCTGTAAAGTGAGTATAAAAAGAAATTAATCAATTATTGTAATTTAGAGTATTTAATCTATTTGCAAAAATGTTGACATACCCGTCAACGACATTCTCAATATTGTGTTGTTGCTTAGGTAAAGATGCATCGCAAAAGAAGCATTTTTTTCGATCCTTGAGATGTGAAACGATGCAGTATCTTTCTGGAAACTTGAGACCGCACGTGGAAGAAGCAAACAGACGATTTTTTCGGCCAATCAAAAGATTTCCTGTTGCAGGATAACATGAACTTTGTTCGCAGGGATGTAGCCTTTTGGGATGTGGACCTGTCGATGAAAAAAAAAAATATATTTTATCATATCTTTTTAAATGCAAATAATATTTAATCACAAATTTCGTTATTTCTATTCTCATTGATAAATGTTGTTAGGTGAGTAAACATATGGGTATTTCTTCAACATGATATTTGTCTTAAATAACGTTCAAGAGAAGAAAAACAATCGATTTTTATTATTAACAAGATAACCAGGGAAGATATCGTATCCCATAACCAGTTAGTTTATGCAGGATAGAACCAGAGTATTGACACATTACGTCATCGAACTACCTCTTCGTTGTGGGATGGTCATTCCTAGCCCATTATGACGTCTTGTTATTATTTCCATTGGCGAAACGCTTCCTCCTGGTATTATTTCTATAACATTCTCATTTTTACCTTTCTTTTTTTATTCCAATTTTATCTTTCATCAGACTCCTATCGTAATTGATTAATTTTCATTTATAAAATGGTACTCAAAGTATTTGATTTGAATATAGCAATAAATTATATATCATAGTTCATTCAAAGTATTTGTTAATTTTGAAGATTTGCCGAATAGTTTTTGATAAAATGAATAATTTGATTAAAGATAACTCACCTCTGTTTAACGGTAATCTTAAATCCCTTGTTTGTTGGGCCTTTGCTGAACCTAAAAAGATAAAATTCTATCAGTTTCGATATAATAAGGAAATATTTCAATGATTCTTGGAATTCGAAGTTATCATCATGGAGCATTTTACTACCGGTAGTTGTTATCGCGAGTTGGACAACGGGATGTTTATGATGAAGCATCTTGTAAAACGAATCGTACTGTGTTATTTTGTGTTTTAATAAATTATTAATTTTTTTTACATTTTATCATTTGTCCGTAAATGTAAAAAAATGTACCATTATCTATGATATTTTTCTACAGTTGATATTTGAGTGCAGTTTATTTTTCACTTCACTGATTAATACTTCAAATTACATAATTTGTATAAAAATAATTATTTCTTTTATTTACAATAATAATAAAAAAAGGTTCACAATTTTCTTTTTAGTCGATTATTGATACAATATGATAATCGATCATATATCTAGCATACTTAAATTTGGGAACTTGTACATATTCGTAGAATTTTAAAGTAATATATCGGGGTCGTGAGGTCTTGTTGTTATCTAATCATTTCGGATAAAAAGTTCTCGTAGTAAAAGACACGAATAAAAAGAATGATCATTATTCATGATTACTAAACTATCGGTTAAGTTCTTCTTTTGTAGAATTTTTGATATTAATCATAAAACGTGTATTAAAATATCATTGAGATTTCAGTAGTATTTAGAGAACAATTTGATCGATTAAAAATGATTGAATATAATTCCATACCTGATAAAAGAAGAAATATCGCGAAAATAAAAATCGCAGGGAGGATTCGCCGATAAAAAAAATGTCCGGCCATCTTTGAATATTTCCCGCTCGAGTTGAGCATCCGTTACGCACAATTCGTCAGAAGACTAACAACTCGTGGACTCCATTTACCCTGTAAAGTAAAACAAAAAATTAAAGTGTTTCTTTTTTAAACGCGTCTATCGAATACGTGTACGCGGTTAAAAGAATCAAACGAATCATTCATTCGTAAGAAGAGTTCAAGAGATACTCGATGATACTTAAACGATATACGATAATTTATTTCAATAATACTTTTTACAATACTTTTATCGTTCCAACGGTAATATATTATAATCGACTGAAAATTAAAGACTATAGATGCAAGGAGCTATTTTTTTTTCAATCATCTTTGAATGATCGTAAAACCGAATGATCGTAAAACGTGTGAGTAGGGTGTAACAAGAGAAAAAGAAAAAGATAGAAACAAAAGTTCAAATAAAAAAAAATCACTTGTTCCTTACAACTTTGAAGTATCTACATATATCTTTTTCACCTTCTCTCTCTTTCTCTCTCTCTCTCTCTCTCTCTCTCGCTAACACATCATTAAAAATAAAAAAGATAAATCGCGTCAACAATTGATCCTTCGATCGATTGATTTAAAAAGTACACTCGCGGACGCCATTGCGCGTGCGCATAGGCACCTTTCAAAAGAAAAACACATCGATGCATCCCCCGTCATGGATAATCATGGTAAATTCTTTCGCTTTTTTGGTATCCCTACCGTTTATTCTATTCCTTTAGAACACTTTTTATCTTTCTCTTTCTTTCTTTCTTTCGTCTTTTCTTTCTCAAAACTATATTAGATTTCAACGGATGAAAACTTTTCTCCTCGTCTTTCTTCTAATTCCGTTGATGAGGAGACACTGTTCAAAAACCTCCACCGAGATGGTTTTGTTGCGTTGTTGTGCGCTTACACAGCATACACGAACATTATTACGTCCCTTTTCTTTTACTATACCTATCTCTCTTTAGCTAACCCCCACTCTAAAACTCCCACTATTTCTCTCTTTCTTTCTTTCTTTCTCTTTTTCTCTCCCACTTCAACTCTCTCACAACTTGCTGCTTCGTCAGCGACGTTTTTGGGACCTTTTTTCTCCTTAATTCCTTTTTTCAAAAGCTCATTTTACAGACCCAATCAATTTATGTTTTTTTTTTCAATTTATTCGATAAAGCACCGACACTTAATTCACGATAATTCTTACTTGAAAATCTATAAAAGGTGAACATTTAATAGGAAAATACTCAACAAGGCCTACGCGTCGCGAGAGACGCGTCTCGAAACGAGAGAGCTGCTTCGTTCGTTCGGCTCAAGACACGACAACAGGACCGTACCTTGGAATAGAATTCTTCAGAACCCTGCACACTATATTTTTAATTTCTTATCTTTGCAATTAGTTTACTTTGTTAACTAGTTATTATATGTCATTCGATTTTATTCAGATGATGATCATATTTAAATTGAAATTTTAATAATTCCCCCAAAATATTATCAAGTATAATAAGCAATACTATGTTAATAATTCTTACGTAATTTTATACTTTAATTATTATATTAATTTTATGTGAAATGAGTTAAGCAAACATAAAATTTGTTTTTAAATTTATGAATATTAGAGAACTGTTTTTTTCTTCTTATATATAGTTTCTGAGTAAAGATTTAGGTAACATATAGGTTCCATTTTTACTGCGAAATTGACTCTTCCTTTGAATATGTATAACAGGGAGCGTCATGTGCCAGATGTTCAAAAATCGTTTCGAAGTAGACCCTTGGTTTTTTTTTTTAGTCAGAAATTTTTGAGAGAGAGAAAAAGCAATGTTTTGAAATATTTCGAGAAAAATTTTATCAAGTTCCAAATTTAATCAATAATATTATGTATATATATTATATATATATAGAAATAATGATCACAATTACTTGAATAATTAAAATTTTTTTTTAAACGGTTAATGTATAAATAAATTACGCAAAATTGCAAATATTTTCAAATTGCAATCAAATATAAAAGATTTAATTATTACATGTTGTATTATTACAGAAAAAAATATAAACTCCAGAGTGGAATGTCATCCTCTTGCAAGTTGAGAAAAAATAAGAATAAGAGAAAAAGAAAATATTCGATCGTGATGAATTAGTGTGATGTTTACTGCGTTAAATGATTGTAAAGGAAGGAAGAGAAGCGCGTGGGTAGTTGCTTTATCTCTAGGATGTATCCCAGTTATGATAGCCGGGTGCCAATGCCTTCTCTTCCTCTTCTCTCTTCTTTACTCTTATCAATCTTTCTTTCTTCGTTCAACGTTTATAAACGTTCTCCTCTTTAGCGTATGCGTGCCTGCTGTATCTGTTTCTGACTTTTTGACTCTTTCTTTCTCTCTTACTGATTCACGCTTTATTTTTCTTTCTCTATTTTTCTAATCTCATATAGTTCTCTTTATTTTTATTTTACACGATTTATCTCATATTAGAAATAGTCAATGAATCTAAAATGAATCTAGCTATGAATGATAATTCAAGAACTATTTTCTGTAAATATAATTTATTTAAATAATAGCAACAATGTAATATTTTTCAATTGTCGTTTATCTAATTAAAATATTTTATTAATTTTTAATTTAGAAATAAAGTCATAAAAACTGACTTATTATTGGCTCTTTGATGAATTAATTGTACACCTTTTATATAGGATGCAAAAACAGAATTTAACATAAAAAGTATATTGTATGTTTGTTAATTTATTTTATTATATTTTTATAACACCTTACATAATTTCAATTGATTTTGGGAAAGGGATATCACAGAGTAGTAAATTTAAAATCAATAAGACAGCATTTTCATGCTTTATTTTATACACACTCTTATTATACATAATTTTAAACACGAGGCCCTGCGTATCGATCTCGCGATTTAAATGGGCGTTCTTTTTCTTTCGTAAATGGACGAATATTTGACTGCGATAATTAGTTCGATTAATAACCCTACGCGAAGAACAAATCGGGTTTTTTTAAATTTTATTTTTATTTATGTATGTGTATGTATGTATATACATGTAGAGACGCATCAATCGGTATGAATTTTTGCGAATGAAATATAACTTTTCTTCTTTCTGTTTCTTTTTTTTATTTCTTCTATGCGATCGAAATTAATCGGATAATAATTTATCGGAATTTTTGTATTTTAAATTTCGAAAATTCTTATTTTAATATTACCATTATTTAATATAACGATTATTATTTTAATTCCTAGTATTTACAGCGGGTGTCCTAAACGAATTTAAATGTTCTATCACAGTTTATAGACGAAAGGCATAAAATAATAATTTTATATTAGTACCAAAATGATATAGGCTTACTGAGATGAGAAATTGTAAGGGCTCGTAAGTTGGGTGAAACATTTTTACAAAATTTACGAAATTTACGTTATCCATTTATCGAAATAAAAAAACAAACGTAAATATTCTCTTCTATATTAAACATGGGAACTATAGATAATTGAAATTAAATTGAACTTTGTTCTTGTTCTCATTTGAAACAAAAAAAAAACAAAAAACATAAATGAAGGAGAAATTAAATTAATTGAATTGAAAGTTGTCTATCACGTTGGTTATAGTTTTTCGTGGAAAATTTAATTTCCACGATTGCAAACTCTTTGCACGAATAATTTAAAGGAATAATAGCGGCAGGTGCAATAATTTCTACGATAATCGAGATCAATAAATTTTTCTAGGCAAAACTATTTCTCTTTTAATTTTTCTTTGTAAAGCGAAGGCCCTTTAATAATAATTAATTACAGATTCAATTTCACCTAGCTCTCTTCTTAACTTTTTTCATTTTTATTTTTTATTATTTAATCGAGATACCTTCGATCGTTCGTATTTGGCACCTTTTGAGAAAAAAAGGGTGCGAGATATGTCTATGTAATACGTTTTTATGTATCGTTTATGAATCTTATTAGGATACATACATTTTTTCAGTTAGAAATAAATTAAATTCCTTTATTTGTTTGGTTTAATTTCTTAGGTTAGTATCTTTGTTTTTATCATTCGACTCGAAAATATTTTTTTTTTTAATAACAAATGTGTATCTCTTCCTCCCCCCTCTCTCACTCTATCTCTTTCTTTCTTTATTTGGATGCTTGACTTTTAACATGCATCCAAATAAACATATCTTTCTCACTCCTTTTCGTATTACAATTAATCGCGCGTTTTTCGTTCCAATATATTTCTATCTCTTTCTTTCTTAAATCGCAAATAGTCGACATTTTTTCGGATAGAAGAAAGGAAAAAAAAAGTGTTTAAATATATTCAGCGAACATTATCCAATAAGTGACATTTAATACAGCAAAAAGGAAAGGAAAGAAGACTCGTGAGACCCGATCGATGTTCAAAGCCCTCATTCTTGCCTTTTGAGCCGGCGTTGGTCCAAGTGGTGGACCTGAAGTCGAATTCTGCGATCGGCCGGACAACAACATGGCATTTTCCTGCGTGACAACGATCACAACTTGAACCGCCGCCAAGAAGACGTCTCTCCTGTGCCTCGGAGCTCTTTCGCAAAGAACATTGCGTTCCAATATTAAACAAACTTAAAAAACGTACAAACAATTACGAAGAAAAACAAAAGCAAATAATTTGCCATATATTTGAATTGTTACAAACATTGTATTCGTTTAATTGATACACAAAAGTAAATTATAGTTTTAAAAAATGAGATTGTTTCTCTAAAAATATTAATAGGAAAATTTGTGGAATGTGTATTAAGTAAATTAACATTCAACGTGTTAACCCTTTGCGGCACTATTATTCATAATATTTACAAAAATTAATTATCCGACGTCTTTACTCAATTTCTAATATTTGCTTGCGAATAAGAATCATCACAAAAGTAAGGAACTTATGTTAATGTAAATACCATCATTGGATTTATCCGTAAATTCAAAAAAAAAAAAAAAATAAAATAAACCCGGATATTGGACATAAAATTCTAACGCGTGTTAAGAATATAATACTAAAAATAATAATTATATACCGCAAAGAGTTAATAAATAATCTCTCCGAGGCACAGAAGTCGTCGTCTTTGAATAAAATAATCTTCACCAAGGCGTTACCTTAGTCGCAATGTCGAAGATTCTATCAAGTTTGGTGGCCTCGGTGGTGCTAGAAGATGGCGGTGCCGGTGGTGGCGGTGGTTTTGCTGCCGGCGCATCGGAATCACCAAGAACGATGTTCACCAGGCAATATTCCATCAATGCCATGAACACGAATATCGTGCAGACCGACATAAAGGCATCGACAGCTTTCAAATAAGAGACCGGTGGTAAAGATGCTTGACTTTTCGCGTGTTGAGTCGATAAGGTCAGCAGGGATGTCACTCCTAAGGTCACTCTGGCTGGCGCAGCTTCTGGTTTTATCCAAAATGAGACCCACTGTGAAATAAATTAATACATTCTCTGTCCCTCTCCTCTTTCTCTCTCTCTCTTGATCTCATCCCACTTTTTGTAATTATGTTATCATTTTTAATTCTTCTTTACTTTTTAACATCTTATATGCGGATTATTTTGCCTCATTGTCAGATTTATCAGAGTACCCTTGACACAAATAAAAGTCACATAAAATTTGAAGTTGCATTTTGTTACAATATCAGAAAAGGCACAGACGATGTTGTCCACATATAAAATATTAATAATTTGTTTTTTATATTATCGTGGCTTACCGACATAATTACGATCAAACATGTAGGAACATATGTATGAAAAAGATAATAACCGAGTCGCCGTTTCAATACAAATACCACTTCCAAGCAAGTGAAGTTACCTGAAAACAAAATGTACCTTTATTTATATCTTATAATTATTCATATATAAAGATATTATATGCTTGTATGTCTATGTATATAATGTATATGTAAAATATATAATATAGGATTGGCTGGCAATATATCTAGAAAATCAATGATAATTGAGTTACCATCTAAAGGATGGAGCCATCATTCCAAATATAGTTTCAAAAAGGTCGAGGTTAGTTGGAGTGTCACTATTATTAGATACTCCTACTTTTCGAATTTATGAAATTCGTTATTTGTATTTGAATCGTTCCAAGAATAGTTTACCATTCGAATCTTCGATATACTAATATATTAATATAATAATAATAATAATAATAATAATAATAATAATAATAATAATAATAATAATAAGATGATAAAACAAATTAGACCAACGTAACTCTAGAGAAAAATAAATAAATATAAATAGGTATAAATAAAAAATATATTTCCGAAATTTCTTATAAAATTAGATCATCTCGTGTGATGATTAAAAAAGTCTAACTTATAACACTTTTAGATTTTGTATCTTACAATTTAGTAACAAATGTCGACTCGTATTATTTTCATTCTCGTTAATTCACATTTTGCGTTGAAAACAGTGGCATAATTCCGTTCCAATTTTTATGCATGAATTCTTCTTAATTCTTCGTATAAAATGATGCCATTGAATAGAATCTAATTTATCCTCGATGTTTAATTGTGTACAAAAACGAATACGCACAACACGATACTTGGCTTTGAAAAAAGCGAATCAAAAAAGCTTATTCAAATCACTTACCAGTGGAATAGACTTGCGTGCAGTCAGCCGTGTAGTTCTTCACAAGCTGTAATTGGGGCAATTCTATGTTCTCATCGACGACAAGTGGTACGTCGGGATCCCATTGGAAGATCATTTCATCCGTCGTGTGAGACACTGTTGACCGAGTTGTTTTGTCCTTGTCAAAATGTAAGCATTCACCCTATCGGCTAAATATGACGCGATCTCTTTTTATAATTTTTTTTATGTATCATCTTTCCGTGAGATTTTTCTTTTTTCATTCGAGCAGCGTGGATGTTTCTTTCACGAACTATTCATGCAAAATTTTTCTTTCTCTCTCTTTCTCTCTCTCTTTCTCTCACTCACTCTCTCTCATTTCTCTCTATGTGAATTTATTTGAATGAATATTAGATGCAATTTGGTGGATTAAAGTTCTACACGTATCGACTATTACTCACGGCTCTCCATTTGCAGTTTACACTCCTGCGTGTCGTGCGGATAAATCAAGAAGTTCATAGCGCAAGAGAGCTTTAATGTCAATCTGCAAGTATCCATAGCATGATCGTTGAACTTAATGAGTATTTTGTAGTTCTTATAAATGATCTAGTTAAAACTATATCAAAAATATTAAAATTTTGGTCGTACGTACTTGACCATATATAGGATCGTTTTATCTTTATACAGCCAGAGGTAATGATTTGGTATCGTCATCGTCTGAAAGGTCACCGATTTGGCATTCTTGAAAAAAGAATCGGGTCGCCACATGTTCTTCAACCAATCGACCTCTAATAATCTTCAATTTTGTTTAAAAAAAAAATAATGTTCACGATTATCTACCTCATTATAAGAATGTTTAAACAATTATTTTCTAATTGATCGTATACCTATATTCCGAAGTCATATTTTCTGGTAGTCTCAGTCTGTTGTCCTTCCACGTTTGAGCAAAAAATATATCAGCAGCGTAAGTCTGTAAATTGTTTTATATCTTTCTCTCGTACTCTGCAGGTATTAGCGTATTTTCAATGGACAATGCAAATTATGTTTAAAAGAAGACACTAACTTTATCAACAAATAATAGAGAAGAAGATAAAGATTTGACTTACCATAGAATTTTCATCGATTGAATCGAGTCCCATTACGGTGACGTGAAAATAGACAACGGTTGCTTGTCCATCTTTTTTCGGGGGTCTCATTTTATCGTAAAGTTTTGGATCCTCCGGAAGAAGATCGAAGAATTCTAAGCTTCTCCTGAAATTAATATTGTTTTCTTTGTTTCGACACGATTTTCTTACAAATAATATTAGTCCTTTGAGAAATAATAAAACGTTACAATTTTCAATGGATTTGAAAGAAGGAAAATAAAAAAAAAAAGATGCGTGATAACGATCGAATTTTCCGAAGTTATATCTCAAAAGAAAATAGAAGAAAAGAAGAAGAAAAACAACAAATAACACTGTTGAAACTTTCATCTTGGAGAAGAACATTGGAACGCGAAGTGGTTGGTCGTTAAAGTCTCCCGTAAGCACTCCATCTTAACAATATTTAGCACACCACACAGCTGATCGATCGAGCTGATTCTATATCGCGAGAAAGCAATATTAAACAAATTAGTCTCTCTCGTTTGGAACAAAATAAAACCCTTTTTAAATATTAATCCGTTAGTCACTGTAAATTCTAGAAGAAAATTCTAATCGATCTTTCCGATCGATTGAATCGTAGATGATACACCACAGTTTCATGTGCTATTAGATTTATTTATTCGATCGGTAATGCATCCCGTGTTACAGTTTCATGATCGTTGATGAAAAAGTCCCAAAAACGGCGATCTTACTGTGCATCTGCGGTGCGGTCCAGTAGCAAAATAATAAGAAGAAGAATTGTTGAGAGGATCGCGGATGTCATGCCTTTTCCCGGTGCTTCTTCCGTCGACATTATTTTTCTTTATCCTTCAATGCATCCTTTCTAATAATTTTTCAAAACGCTCTTTTTTGCGTGTGCAGGATTCGTCAAAGGGATCCGGATATTTGAAATAAAGACAGAAAGAAGAAATAAAGAAAGAAAAAATTTGGAAAATAGGAAGAAGATAAAAACAAAGATTAGAGACAAAGAACAATGAGAAGGAGAAAGAGAGAGAGAGAGATAGAGAAAAGAGATGTAAATTTGTGCCAGTCCGGAACTAGGTCCGGTTAGTGGCTGCAACCACTTTCCGATGGCTATTCTCTGATTCGCGAGAACGTGCAACCGACGACTGACTTCTTTGAACGACTTTGCAGAGCCTGCAAAATCTTCCATTTTCGTGATCTAGCGAGATGTGGAGGTGGTAGGTAAAAAGCTTTAGTGTTGGTGGTAGTGGTGGTGGTGGTGGTGGTGGTGTTGGACCAGTTGCACCCCTCTGCATCGTTTCTCACTCCTTCTTCTACGTTGCAAAGTGAGGACCAGTTAAGAAAAGGTGGGGGTAACTCTCACTCGTGACGTACACGGAAACACGTTTGGAAAGGGTCGAGGAGAGTTCCACGGAGGATTGCGAGACGAAAGAAGTGGTGGTAATCCCTCGGAGTACCAGTGCCCATGGCCCATGACAACCTCAACAATCTCAACAACCACGACGACGACGTCGACGATGACACGATTCTGTCCCAATGCAGTAGTATCTTTGCTTTATGTCGCAATCGTGTACACCCTCCTCAACAGATCGTCCTGATGTAATCGTTACAATCATTTTCCCCTTTCTATTTAACCCCCTTTTCATTTCATCTTTTATTTTATTTTCTTTGTTCCGATCTTTTTCATAAGGAGATGGAATCCTATTTTCAAAGTTTTATCCTTCGATTATTGACTATTTCATTGTCGGCATACTCAAGTCTCTAATGAAATTAGGGGAATTCTTTTTATTATACTTATATCTTATTAAGAACCTTCTTCATTTCTATATTTATATTAAATAGGCAATTATTATTATTATTATTTTACTTTCATACGGGTATATTTTTGAGATGCAATTTTTCTTTTACCAAATTACTTTCAAGTTCTTATAGTAAGTAATAATTTTCTATTTATTTCAATAAATAAGTTATAAAAAAAAAATATAAATACTGAACTAATTATCTCTTAATCATAGTGATTACTATTCGTTTAATGAGACACATAAAACTGAAAATAATAATATCTTTGATATCTATATCTTTCTATTTTCTGTAAAAAAGGAAGGACGTATTTGATGCCAATTTGATGCACTGCAACATTACAAATTAACGATCGTCAAATTAATGAGGACAGACCTGTCTAATTGCATCACCTTTGGCATAAGATTCTACGATAGGTATTTCACATACATACATATATTTATATAAATCAGTTTCCTTGAATTGTACATATATGCGTTATCTAAATAAAACCATTTCTTGACCTCTCTTAAAATCGACGAAGATTAATCAAATGATCGATTAAAAAAATTCCAAATATATATATATATATAAACATATACATATATAATATGTATATAATAAATATGTTATAATAAATAAACATATACAATATTTATTATACATAAAAATGTATCGTAAATCTTGTATTTATAATTCATTTGAAAAATATCGAAAGCAATATCGCTTATGTCAATAAAAAAATTAAACTACGAAATAAGAATACTTAGTTTCACGGGATAAGAAATTTTTCGCAGTGCGCCAATGTATCATTTTCCCGTGACGAGGTGAACACATCGTGTTCCTCAAGGGTGATATGTTTCAAATCGTTCAGCGACTAAACAGCATCGATTAGAGAGTAGTCAGTGAATACGAAGAGATTCGGAGGAAAACGTGCTAGAAGCGAGAGAATGGAAGGGACGAAGAAGAAGATGAATATAGAAAAGAGGGAGGATGACGAGAAGAAAAGGTGGTAGTCTATCGGAAAGGAATAGAAGAGGAAAGCATAGTCGATGAGGAAGAAGACGGTCTTCCTCTTTCTCCTCTTAACCAACCCTCTTTCCGCAAACCCTTCTTCAGGGAGGCGCTAACTACCGCGCTATTTGAAGACAACGTCGTCTCTTTCTCCCTAACTCTCTCTTTTTCTCTTTCTCTCAGCGTTCGATATATCGACCCTCGAAAATTGTGCCGCGAACAGGAAGCTATGTGCCGTTCGTATCGTGGAGTGGCCACCGTTCGAGAAGCTATACTTATATACATATACACAATATATACAAAATATGTATATACATGTTCAGAACTATAGTTGCAAATGTCTCTTTTCTTCTCTCTCTCTCTCTCTATATATATATATATGTACGTACGTATTTATCTATATAAGATATTTAGAATATTTCTTGCAATGTTGAAATATTTCAATTAAAACGAACGAATGAGTATATATATATATACATTTTTTTCTCTTATTATATATATAATATAATTAAAATGTATATTAACTCTTTCGTTTTTAGCGATCACATATACAGATTATATATATCCATATATCTATGTAAGAGAGAATTTTTATGGAACGATATTCACTCTAAAACATCTCCTAACGAAACATCTCCTAACTAAATTAATAATTACGACGCGTTAGAAAAAATTAAGATAGCAAAGAGGAAAAATAATTCTTCCGTTAGATTTTCTTTCGTAAAATAATGATAATTTGATACTCGAATGTTTCGAGAGTTAGATACATGTATCTTTAATCGTAAAACGTCTGTGGAGGGTTTTTATTTTATTTTATTCGTTTAATGTACCTTTCGGCGAAAGCAAAAGAGAAAAAGAGAGAGAGAAAGATCTTTCCATTTCTAGGCAAGTAGGTACTTTATTAGTAGCACGTACTTTATTATTTCTGGAAGCGTAGCGAACGTCATCATCGTAACATCGATTTCGTGGTAACGAACCATCGAGAGCACCTTCTTCTTCTGTTGCTGCTTCTTCTTTTGAGCTCGACAATCAGGTCATTGGGCCTGCAAACCACTGGGGGAATTTGCGAGAACGCCGGAAGCGTATTCAAGCTGCTCCTTCAAGAATCTGTTTCTCCTAACATTCTGTTACTGCCAACGAGCGATGGCTAACTACGTCATCGTTAAAAAGAAACAAATATAAATAAAATAAAAGAACTACACGTTCTACGGGTATTTATTATTTCACATATATTTTAAATTTTTCCGCTCCTCATATTATCAGACCTTGTGTTCCTTCTCCTTGAAAAAATTTGGCAATTCTTTCGCAACCGTTATCAAATTTTATTTCAATTTTTTTCATCTTGAGCCTTCGACTCGATTTTTGCGTGTCAAGACGTTCTAAATCCTGCCAAGTTTCTTATAATATGTGTGTATATAATACATTTCAAACGAGCTTCTAAAAAAAAATATGCAAATAATAATAATAATACACAATTATACTTACGATATCCGATGTAAAATCCTAACTTCGGGTTAAACGATAAAAAAAAATTTTTAAATTCGAGAAATATGAATTTTTGGGACATTGTGCTGCATCAAACCCCTTCCATTCAATAAAGATTATCTTTATTAGATTATCACGTTATCGAATCGAAATATCCTGTCTTCGTTTCTATCTCTCCTGGCCCCTCTTTTCCCTTGTTAGCCCTGAGAGATTCTAGGAAGAACAAGATAGGAAGATTGAAAAAATCGAACTTACCTCGGCTAACTCCCAGCAGCCACAGTATGCAGGATGATGTCTCTATTCTCTCTCTCTCTCTCTCTTCCAGCAATCGCTTACAAGCCTAGATGGCATTTACGTCAAATACTTGACGACGTCACTCTAAAAAGGCAGAAGACAGGAAAGCGAGCAGATAGGATCTTTAGAAATATCTCTGAACAGTATGATGACGATTCGAATTACGGAGAGAGAGAGAGAGAGAGATTTTTCTTTAAGGGGTAACACAACTTTAGAGCTTGAAAAAAAGCCTTGTTTTGGGAATTTTTTTGGTGAAAACTAAATGAGGATTAGAATTTCTTTTTTGAGGGTTGGTTAATCATATATTGAACTATGTAAACAAATATTTTTATTGATTTTAGATAGAAAATGGCGTCGGTATTCGTGACTGAACAAAACCCTGTTTTTTTTTTTTTTTGCTAAAACGGGCGAACTCATACCTGGACAACTATGAGACCTAGAATAAAAAGCAAAAGAAATTCTTAATCTATGTACTATTATCTTGAGAAGTACATACAGATTCTTCCCTAAGTCAAATTTTGTGAAAATGGCGCAACTTTGAATAAAAAAATCGACTTTTCGAAATGTAGAAAATTGTTTATAAAATTAAAAGTTTACATTCAATTAAAAATCGTATATGTACTTCTGTAGAAAATACAACTATCAAACTATCTTCAAAATTTCAAGTCAATCGGTTAAATGATGCTTGAGTTCTGAGTCTGCCCAGTTTTAAAAATTTTCGAGTAAAAGTTTCGAGAAAAACGCGTTTAAAGTTTTGTTATCACTATTCGAGGCGCTTTGTGGTGCCTCGTAAAGATAAGATTTCGCCATGTTAAAAATTTTTGTTTTGCTTCGGGACCATGTGCATAATGTTTTTAGGTGTCTAAAACGCTTTAGGCTAAAAAAATCGATTTTTTGAAAATTAATAGTATATATAGTGGTGTTACCCCTTAAAATATTTATTAAACCTAAACTTGAAATACTCAAATCGGTTAATCTTTGGGTCTTCAAGCGATGCGTAATTGGGTTACGTGATTGATTGTTTTTTTAGACAAATAGAAATGATCAAGAGAATCTGAAACTATTACTTTCTTGGTATTCGCATTGGCTTCATTTGCAAGGATTTACGAAAGACGACTTATGATGTTTCATTTTCTTTCTCTCCTTTATTATTATTTTTTTTTTTTAAAGTATTTTGAAAATCTTGTTCCTTTGTTGAAGAAAAGAAAAAGAAAAAAAAACAAACGGCAGGATTCGACCTTTCGTTTCACAGCTTCGTCAAAGGATGATCGATTTCCTGTTTTGTGTCATCGGCCAAATTGGATTGGCAAAATCGCCGACTTACAGAATCCAGTGAACGCGATAGAGAGAAAGAGAGTGGTTGTGTGCATACACAGTGACACGCGCCGTCGTACTTTTTTTTTGCTGACGTTGGCCTGCTTCTCTGGTACTCGTGGTGGCTGAGGGATGTAGAGAGATGAGGAGTACCAGATGAGAGAGAGGATGAGTGGAGAAAAGAGGGAGATGGAAAAAAGTGTGGTGTTGGTACCCCTAGGAAAAACCGCACACCGCTGTTCGAGTTAGGTGAGGAGGAGAGTTCTTCGAGGTGGATCGAGACGATGCACGATAAGCACGCTCGTCCCTCTTTCCTCTGACCTCATGGCCGTCATCATCGTCGTC